GTACAATCTTTTCCTTACTGTAATGCTTAGGCAGGACTCTCTTGGATATACAAGAGATATCCTAATTCCAAACATTATAACCCATTTCACTGACCAGATCAAATTTGTAGATACCCGAAGCATCTTACATTTCATACCTAGTTATTCACCAATGTAACTAGTAGACTCTCTTCTCTACAAGTTCTTTTAACTACATAATCTACACTTTTTTGGCCATTCAATGTCTAAATAATCTCTTCCTTTAACTTCTAAAACTCGAAATGTTAAAAGAACCCAATTATGAAGGGATGTATTGGATAATAGCCACAACTAATGCAATGAAACAAGTTTAAAAGACTTACTAGGACAGAAAGACGTGTAGCCTGACCAGACCAGATACATACACAGACAACTGCAAAACGAACCATGAGGCTGGTTCCCTATGCTTCCCTACTCACCACTTACTCATACTCGATGGCTACCTACACCCGCAACATATAACAATGCTCATGTAACCAACGGTCCATGAAAACCCAGTTACCAAGACTGCTGAAGTAGTGGAGACCTATCCCACACCACTAATACCTACACCACAGGGAACCACCCTTAAAGGACTGCGCAACTACACTCACTCCCCTATACTGTTTACTAATGATAAATGAGGCTAATATCGGTAGAAGTGGAGCTACACATGTTAGTGTACCATACCCGATATCTGACTTAACAGAACAACCACATGTATATTATTGATATGCAAGCTTTGTACTGTATGCCCTTAATGCCTCATTTAAAAAAAAATAAAAAATTATTGACAAACAAAAAGAAATTACATGAATAGAAAAGTTACTTTTATGTTTCTTTTTACATTTTTAACCCCTTAAGGACACGTGATGGAAATATTCCGTCATGATTCCCTTTTATTCCAGAAGTTGTGTCCTTAAGGGGTTAAAGAGACACTTGAGGCACTAAGACCACTTCACTCATTGAAGTGGTCTGGGTGCGGTGTCCCAGGACCCTTAACCCTGCAATTGTGATTATTGCCGTTTTTAATAAACTGCAATAATTACATAGCATGGTTAACTCCACCTCTAGTGGCTGTCTACCAGAAAGCCACTTGAGGGACTTCCGGGTGGTTAGGTGACCAAAAGTCCTCACGCTTTGCGTCAGGATATCCAGCAACACCCAAAACCTCATAGGAAAGCGTTCGCGGAGCAGAGGCGGAGCCTGAACCAGTGCCAGGGTAAGGGGCACTATTGTGCAAGAAAAATACAGTGTGGAGGCTGGTTTTATATCCATTGACAGAGATTGTTTCACTTATTCCAGTTTGAACGTGTAACTTTGCACCTTTGCTATCTGAACACGAACACACACACCTGACATGAAACAAAACATAACATAAAAATAGAATGAAGTTTAGCTGTTTTTTACTGGACTAATCTACAGTACTATTTTTTGAGACTTGTGCTCGACTCAAATATAGGGGAACTCTGCAAAAACAAAACAAAAAAAAAAAAAACACATTGAAGAAGGAAGTATCTTTATTTAAAGCAATATTTTACAGAATTTCCTGCTGAATCAAGAAAACTTTCCCATGGACTGTAAAGCAAATATATATTTTAAAAAATATATTAATTGTAGTATACTTTATCAACATTTCCTTATTGAGGTTTGTTCATTAAATGAATTGAAATAATTTGGAGAAATTCTCTTTCCTGGCACACTATGTAATATGTATATTTGGAAATGTATCCCCTTCACAGCTGATAGTACAGTGGGAAAAAGCCACCGCTATAGAATTATAAAAGGATCCACTTTAGACATCTTCCTCAATATTTCTCCTGTCCTCAAGCTGTGATATTAGAAACCCATTTGCTATCAGATTGGTTTTCTTGTCTGACTTAAAGACAAGTTTTTATACCCATAATTCAGTCAGTCAAAAGAACCTCACAGAATGGCTGTAGAGACCACAAACAGAACAAAAAGACGGTGCCTGGATAGTGAGATCTGGAACAGAGAAGAAAATATAAAAATAAAAGTAAGGGGCAAGCTAGGGAGTATAATCATTTAGATTCAGGAGGCATAAGGAAAGGAAAGCAAAACAAAAAACAAAAACAAAAAAAAACAGTAGTGTCACTTTAAGTGTGCCTGCTAGAAGGATGTAGTATCCATTGATTTCATTGCATTGCAGTCTGTGTACATGGATGCGATTTAGAAACATTTTATCTGTTCAGTGAACTCTATGCAGGATGATGCGGTGAGTATTCGCCTCCCATGTTCTTCTTGGTTACAGACAGTGACCGAACAAGTTCCAGGTTTAAAATGGAAGTGTAGTGGATGACAAAACTATAATTTTAAGAGCAGTATCAGCTCCTAGGAGATTAAGTTTTATGCCTTCATAAAAAATAAAAAAAAAACCTGAAAACTTGCTGCTCTTTTGATTTTGTCCTGTTGGGTAAAGTCTCGTAGTTGAATATACCTAAAATGATCTTTAGCGGACAAAGCCTGAAATCCAGGACGCGTATGGCTGCAGTTTTAGCTTTTAAAATTGCTTTTTTTTTTTACCCTGCATATTCGTTCTAATTCTCCATGAAAACCAACTATATTGCTAGGGGTAATCTCCCCAGAGTGAACAAGATGGGCTTTCATGGTTTTGAGAGACGTTAACTGTTCTGGACTTCCTTGTGGCCTGCAGGAAATACTGAGGCAGCCAATCCACTGCTGAAGCTTGGTTTCAGTCTTTCTTGGGCTTTTGCCCAACATATCTACAATTCTGTTTGAATTATTTAAAATCTTCTCTGCTTTACCTGGTAGAATTTTGCTACCACCATCGAGCCACCCTGGTCCCCCCATGCCTCCCTAAATATAGTAAAATCTTACTTGTACTCAAGTCTGCAGCTGCATGCTTTGTCCCAGTTTCCTTTAGACCTGCCCACTGCCTGCAGACATCAGCAGAAGTGGTGGCCTGATCCAATCACAGTGCATTCCCATAGGATTGGCTGAGACTGACAAAGAGGCAGATCAGGGGTAGAGCCAGCACAATTCAAACACAGCCCTGGCCAATCCGCATCTCCTCATAGAGAAGAATTGAATCAAGGCATCTCTATGAGGAAGGTTCAGTGCCTGCATGCAGAGGGAGGAGAAACAATGTTTGGATGCATTTTAGGCAGCCATGACCCAGGAAGGATCTGTAACAGCCATCTGAGGAGTGGCCAGTGAAGTTAGCACTAGGCTGTAATGTAAACACTGCATTTTCTCTGAAAAAAGAGTGTTTACAGCAAAAAGCCTGAAGGTAATGATTCTACTCACCAGAACAAATTCAATAACCTGTAGTTCTGGTGACTATAGTGTCCCTTTAACCTTGTTTGTCATACTTTGCACTGAAAGAACTATATAAAATTATCTATAATAACATATCCCCTTTGACTACTAAGGTCTTGAAATGATACAGAGGAGTCTCTCTAGAGTTAAAAATATTGTTGGATTCCAGCCTCTTCCAAATATTTTAAATTCTCTGTGTTGCATAACTGAAGGGATATCCCGGTTTCTGAGAACAGAGTTAAGAGGAGAGGAACTAAAAGTCAATTTAAATTTGAGTTCCACCTGATCCGAAATGCATGAGTTGATGGCAAAGAAGGGCTCTCTGCGATCTCTCTAGCCACCTCCCAACTCCTGGCAAAGCATTCCACATTGCTATCCGCATCAATTGCACTGCATAGTGATACATTAGGAGGTGTGGGGAGACCCAGAATCTCCTCTTGGTTTAGGTCTATACAGCATACACCTCGCTAATCTAAGTCTTTTCTTGTTTAAAGGTATTTTTAGATTTCTGAACATCTAAATCTCTTATCTACACAAATTTGTAGTACTCAAAAGAAGAAAAGCACTCTCGGGAGAATATTCATTTAAAAAAAATAAAAAAAAAAGTTTTACCCCCAGTTCTCAAGATCTCTTAACAGAGTGAAATATTGGAGGTTAATTTGCAGCAAAAATTATACCTTGGTCATCTGTTATTTGAACTCCTAAGTAGGTTATTGAGTGTGAGTTTGTTGTATCCTATAAAACACACCCACTTTAAAGTGTTCCACTTACACTGGTGTTTGATTGTGTCATCTTGTCACTCAGATGAAAAAATGGCACCTCTTGAGTCTTAGTTTGTGTACCTCCAACTTTGTTTATGTACACTGCATTCACTTTTTTCATTCTAGAGCAGTGATGGCGAACCTTTTTGAGCCAACACGGCAATTAAACCTGAATACTGAGGTTTACGTTTAGAAAAAAAAAAAAAAAAACTCGTTCAGTTTTCCGAACTAATTAAAAGGGACACTAGTCACCGAGACTTCAATGAAGTGGTCTGGGTGCCAGGTCTTAACCCTTCAGATGCAAACAGTTTCAGAGAAACTGCTATGTTTACATTTGTGGTTAATCCAGCCTCTAATGGCTTAATTTGCATACTTTCCCACCTTTCTGTGTGAAATGACATTTCGCATATTAACTTTGCCAACTTGCCAAACTTCGTTTAAAGCATGTATATATAAATTTTGTAAAGTGTAGGGGATCTAACATTTAATACCAACAGCTAGTATCGGCTTAAAATGGAAGTGCCAAAGCTGTTGTATAGAACATCTCCCATAAAAGGGGGCACATAATGTGCTCCTGCTTAAACTGGGAGTACATATATTCACACAAACATCTAAGTGAAGTTTTGCAGTTATCTTGAACTGTGCTTCCTACATCTTCACAACTTTTTGCAAGGTGCTCCGATATGGACATTAGAAGTGTATCAGGTCTAGCCTTCTATTAACAAGCACTGAAATATAGTTAAAGAAATTCAGGAAATCCATACAATTCTTTTGTGAAACATACTCTGCAAATTAGTAGCATCTTGTTACAAGACGAAAAAGTTGTGTATGCAATCATTGATGGGTGCAAAATCATAAACCATTTTGAAAAACATGAAAATGAGCAGGGGAACCGGAGAAAACATGAATTTTGAAGGATTCAAACAGAATGACAAAGAACGATTTCAGTTTTTAAGTATTTTTTTTATTTAATAAATAACTTTAGTTAACCTTATTGTAAAAAGTGAACACCTGCTAAAATAAAAAGGCACTTAAAAACAAGATTGTGACAAAATGTTGAACAAAAGGCAATGCAAATAGTCGAAAGCAAATAAACAAAGAATGTATATGGCACAATGTTAAAACGGTCTCTGAGCAAGCTGAAAAACAATTATATATCACAGTACAGTAGTGTAGACGGCTTTAAATTTTACATCCAAGATTACAAACTAAAATTACAGTCTGGATGATGGAAACAAGTGATTTAAAGGCAAGGAAGCCCCAGATGGCAAGACAGAGAATAGATGAAATGAAAAAAAAGAAATTATCTAGGACGCAACATGAATTAAGGCATCTCAACAAGTAAATGCATTGTGAATTTTGGTAGTTAACTTCATGCAGCAAATTCATACAGTACTGGAATTTACCATCTTAATAAAGCATGCTCCCGGACCACTTGGGATACCATTATCAAGAATGTATTTTGTTCAATTGCATAGTCACTTACACCAAATATCACCCTTTCAAATGTAAGCAACCTGTGGCCACCCAGCTTCTAATTAACTACAATTCCTATGATCCTCCACAAGCTATAATTATGGCACACCGGAAGGTGAAGGATCATAGCAATCAAGTTCATTATGAGCTGGTTGGCATCTTTGCTCACATTTGCTTGCAATAAAATACCAGAAACCCAAATTGCTGAACCTCACATACCAAACCTGCTGACCATGCTAGAGAAGACATTTGAGGAGTACATCACATTAGTTATGGCTTCTCTGTAAATTTAGCTTTCATAAACCTTCTAAAGCAGAAACCATTATAATACTCATTTGCAAGGCTTTCTGCGATTACTCCTGATCTCACCCTTGTGGGTGTTGAAACAATAAAATAAAAGTTTGGTGATCAAGGTCAAAAAGGCACAATGTGACCTCAGAAAACATTATTCATTGTAGTCTTTATTTTTTTTATACTAAACAGTGAATTGTGAGTTTGTAACTGGAGGAAAAACCCAAAATGCTACAACACACTATTTAGAGAAAAAAAAAAATGAAATTAATAATAGTCCAATGGCATCAATAGCTTTCTTGAAACGGTTTGCATAAACTGTACAAAAAAAAGAAAAAAAAGAAAAAACCCCTGCATGTAAAAAACACATACATTCCCCTCAACTGGTTAGTAAATTAATTGCGCTTTGGCTGCTTCCCTGCAAGGAACAAAATAAAATAAGTTAAAAAAAAAAAAAAAAAAAATCAATCACTTTGCATACAGTGTTGTGAAATTAAATTTACAAAAAAAAAAAAAAAAAAAAAAGTTCATTTTCCCTCATATTTTGGATTCACAACTGTTGTCACGGCACTCTTGTAAATAGGATTTTCTCCCTGGAAGAAAAATACAATCAAGAATAAGCATTGAGAAAATGCAAACAAAACCTCTTTTTGGTGTCTATGCACATGCATGGGAAATCAAACTATTACTGCTAAAATACACTGCATATACCTTCAAGTGGTAGCAGGAGGTGGTTATAACGGGGTGGCAGGGCAAAATCGGAGCTTAATGCATTCAAAAACGCTAGAACAGAATGCACACGGCACACGTTTTGTAATATAGTTAATATCTTTTCCCTGTAAATCACAGCACAAGGGGCTAATACATTGCAATTCATCCAGTTAGATTCTGAGTTTAAGAAGCTATTCGCAACAAGATCCTCATCCATGAATGAATGTGCTTTGTGTTACCAGAAAGGAAACACTGGGGTTATCGTTCAGATACCAACAAACACTAGAATATTATTATTTTTTTATGCTTTAGAAACTTGCATCTTTACTAAAATGCAAGTTGTGAGCATGTAACCTTTTCCCCATTTAATGCGTGCGTGTCATGCAAACTTAACACACCATCACTTTTGAAAGTAATTCTGTATAAACATTAGGCTAGTCAAACAGGTCAACGTTTTATCTTTACAGTTTAAAAATCTACATGAAGTTTATTATTTTCGGATGACAATTTACTCTAAATGGGGCAGTTTATGTGTTAGTCACCAATGATAAAAGCCTTCACTGAGACCAGGTGAGTGGATACAAGAAGTAACAAAAGAAGAAAGATGAAGGGGGTGGGGGGGGGGAGGGTGAAAGAAAGGAGAGGAAGAGTACTACTTACAGGCAGAATCTCAGTATTGCTTGATTACTTTTTTTTATTTAAATAAAAAAAAGCCACTTTTACATTTAATAGGGAAGTGCATGTCTGGCAATTACATTCATTCACTGCCAGTAAATTAATGTGTACATCTGTGGCCTCTGCAGTGCTACAGATAACCAATGCATGGATATGGTATGCATATCTTGGCATAAGCTATACAGGACTTCAAGGTTTCTCAGACAAGAACAGTCACGTCCCTGTTCTCATTTGATGCCACTGAGCGGAGCACAGCAGGAAGCTATGGGGCCATGTAGCTGGGCCCTCACTACCTGGATTACCAAGAAAGCTAGTAATACTGGATTGCTAAATATCTTGCTTATTGATTTTTTGCTAATGGAGCTAGTTGCTGCTGAAAAATAGCCTTTTAAATAGAATTAAAGTAATAAAAGCTATGAAACAAAACGCTCTAGAGTATGAGCAAATTAAAGCATAGCTTCCTCCTTCGATGTGCGTGACTATAAGGATGCTGCGAGCTCCATCTACAAAAAAAACCCCAATATTTTGGGAATAGATTCATATGGTGCTTGGAGTTCCCTTTAAACTATTTGTCAAGGCACTAAAATGGACACTTTGTAACAAATATTGTTAACTAAAAAGCAAAGCAGTGGAGAGTATTTCCAGAAGTCGTTGCAGGCACACAGTGTTAATAGTAAAGTGTGTAAAAGGAACATGCATAAGAAGAAACAGAAAAAGGAAAAGATACAACCAGAGGAGGCTTAGAGAGCTGCTTTACGTCCATAGTTTGGATTCTTGAAATTATTTATAGGACTCTTGTAAATTGGATTCTCTTGCTGGAGAAACGAATCCACATAAGAAAATGTGAACTCCCCATTTTTGACATGCAGTTATACGCAGATATACGGATGGAGAAAGTGTAATGAAGTAGGCTTAAGGACCGTATTTAAGTAATAAATCTAATATCTATATGAAGTTAGAGATCTGAATGTGGATAGTTTGAAACATTCTTTACTATTTCAAGGACTATTCGGCAAGCAAACTGTATAGACGTGTCTGCACTTTGTTCCTCTTAGACAGGCCTACCACTATCCAACAATGGGTGCCTTAGTCAAACAGGAAGTCTGAGTTTGGAAACCCTGTTTACACAAGTCCCCCAAAGCAGGACTAATACATAAAAGTGTCACTAATTATCTTCATAAATTCACCCAACAACATACTGAAAAGACTTTAAGAGCAGGTCCTTTTACTTGCTCAATAAAATAAAGTTTATCGCAGCATAGCTTTCCCAGTGCAATGGATACATCTTATACTAGGAAGAGTCTAATCACGATTTTTGAATAAACACAAACAGAAAATTGATGAAAAAGATGCTGCAGCATAAAAAGATAGGAACCATAAAATACTTTAGAATAATCACTAGATTAACTTCTGTGCAGCTAGTTCATAGTCCACTATGGCTCCAGTAGTGGCATAAGTGCAAATCCAAAATTAAAGAACAGAACTAGCGCAAACAGTTATTTAGATGCACCTCAGTGCTGTAGTTTTTAGAAAGGACATGCTAAACACAAACATTTCAGGTAACATTCCCTTTATCAATGTGAAAAGTTTAATGTTTTATTAAAATTTAATTATGGGTCACAGAGCAAGTTTTAACACTGAACAGGTCAAATGTAATTTACATTTTGTGAAAATAGGCAACGGTCAGTTTTCTGACTAATGTATAGTTTCTATGGTCTAACAAAGTTATTCTGAAGTACTTACTGTATCCCATTTGGCATTCATTTTTTCTTTCTCAAACTTGGCAAACTCTCTTCTATCATGGATGATCATGAGAAGCTTCCAGATCAGCAGCAATGCTAACCCAATCAGAACAATCCCAGCCACCACTCCAGCAACAATGGGAATTATATCGGGGCCACTAGGACACTCTGCAGGATAAAACAAAGACACGCGAAACATTACACAACTATTTACCATGATGTGCGTGTTTAGAGCATCTGAGTGTTTTTTCTCTTTCTTGAAGTTGCTGTAGAAATCACCGAATACAATGCATAAGAAGCTTTTTAAATTGTAACATTGTAATATACAATGTATATATGGAGTTACAGGGCAAGTTTTTGTTTTTAAATGAGTGGATCTAATGTGCACTCTTCATGCAAGTGGTGAAACAAAAAAAAAAACAAAAACAACCAACCAACCACTATAAGGCCAGGTGCCTGAAACGGACTAGTTGGTTATCTCACAAGAGTTTTGCTGATGCCTAGCCCCCCCCCGACGCACAGACATGTAGAGCTATATTTTCAGACGCAAGCCACACCCCTAATGTGGAATGGCTGAGTAATGTCCTGAGAGGGAGGGAGTTTCTGACAGGACCCTACACGAAATATCTGAGCACATTACGTAGACAGGGAGCAAGAAGATGATGTTCAATCAGGTTTTCCCCTTAACGCACACTGGAAACTAGTTGTGTTCCAGATCCTAAGTCCTGTGAGAAGCTCCTTCACCAGCACATTGCTCTGATATGCTAAATGAGGGCTCAAACATCAGACATTTTGCAAATGTTGGCAGGTGACTAAGCATACAGTCTAAAAACTAAAACTCATCCCTACTTTTAGTCCATGATTAGTTCCTTCAATCATATAAATGCACCTTGGGTGAGACAGTGTCTCAATATCAACAGTCTGTATGGTCTTCACTGCATAGAAGCAGGTAAGACCATAGACACTGTCTGGTTTCAAACACTGTCTGACCCAAAGTGCATTTATATGGTTGAAGTAACCCACCATATACTAAAAGTAAGGATGAGTTCTCTCTTGCTTTTTTCATTATAATTATAATAATAATAAAAAAAAAATAAAAAATAAAAAAAGCAGCAATGGTAGGGCTTATAAAATAGCCTTTACCACACCAGGCTTGATAAAGGAGTTTTCACAAAGGGCTATGAAAGATGCGTAACTGAGTGCAACCTCCTTTCTGTGAAATCCTTTCCAAGTCATGACAATGAGTAGCACAAACGGTTGGTTGATATACATTTATCCCTAACCTCCAAAAAAACGCACCTAATTTGCCAACATCAAGAGCTGTTCTGTGTGAGATGCCATTTGAAAATGGTTTGACACAGAACTAGGGAACAGCGGTAAGAGCATACTGGCACCATAACCACTACAGTTAGCTGTAGTTGTTAGGGTGCATAATGACCTTTTAAGTAGGCCATGTCCTCCTACTGAAGACTTATTGAACATTCCCACTTCAACATCACTGAGTGCACACATTAACTTATGTGTATCTCTAAATTGTGCTGATTTTACCTGGGTCCTTCACAACGTGTACATGGATTTCCGAATTGGAATTCACAGAGTAGGTGTAGTAAATCCAGCAGTCTTCAACATCCTTTTCTTTGCAGTGAGTGAGTGCCTCTGCCTGGCCTGGTTGAGGCAATAGATCACGTGTGTCAACCTTTGTGATATTAAATGTCATACACTGCTCCTGGCAAACTGCTTGCTTCTCTCCTTTCTGAAATGCTCTACACTGGACGCAGTCCCTGTTAGACAAATTAGCGTTAAACTTTGCAACATACAAAACACGATTGTAAACAGTTTTTTCCCCTTAAATTGTCAATACAAATGCTTTATACGGAATGAAAATGTAATTTCTTCACGACAAATACGTGCAGTTAGACACAATAAGTAAATGTTTTATCCTGTCAACATTTATTGGTCACTTCCTTTCATTTTGTGTGTGCGCGCGCGCACACACACACAAATGACAATACAACCCAATTCAAAAGCTCCCACGTCAAAAGCATGATAACATTTAAAAAGATTTTGTAGAGGACATCTAAGCTATAGGGTAATGTCCCTACTAGCACAAGTGTTAAGTATGCTTTAATATTTTAGTAATAAATTACTTACTTGTGTTCAGCGCAAACACCAACACACGTCTGGCACATTTCACAGGTAGCTCCCTGAAATTTGGGGTCTGTACATTTGCACCTCCCACAATCGCAGATACCTCGGCCATTACAAACTTGTCCATTTGTTGCTATACAAGGTCTAATGTCTTCAGAACAATCACACGCATTTCCAGAAAAGTTTGCGAAACAATCACATACTCTACACTTGCAAACACCATTTCCTGCAAGAAATAATGTTTATCTGCATTAAATGTACTTTAAACGACCAAAAAAACAAAACAAAAAAAAACTCTCAAGGAAAGCAAGATTTATACAAAGCACATTGTATAAGAGGACTTGTTCTAATAAGCATTTTTATTTTTTTAAATAAGCCTTATATGGAGTTACATTACCATCTGTCATACCCTCTCTCAATTTACACCTATTCAGGGTGTTTTTTTTTTTTTTTTTAAATTCTTTATTTTTGTAGTGCATAGAAACGTAACAGAACGTGCATGCGGTACCCCAAAGGCAATCCTCATGCTTTTTTCAAACATTAAGTACAGTGAGGTATATATTAGTTCTTGCATATTTTTAGTGTTAGTTTAAGTAAGATTAGGCTATAGCAGGACTTTGCACAATACTTGGCACATTAGATACAGTCTAAACAACAGGCTATACAAAAACGTCTGACCACTTGAATTCTATCCTATTCTGCTCAGGGTGTTCTTTAAACCCCACTTTTTTTAAAATTAACTTAAAAAAACAAAACAAATATTAAACAAGTGATAGATATGAAATTAAGATAAATTTTTGCAGAGTCTAAGTTTGTTACAATTGCATATAAGTAGGATGTGTCAAAGATATGCATATTGCATCCAAGGGCATAACATTTTAACAATAGTAACATGGATTAACAAGAGAATCTTGAGATCCGTACATTTGCAATTGAGAGACGCAAGATAAGCCATTATAAGGGTCAAAACCTCCATCTCTTGAACCCCCAATCTAGCGTGTTTAACCTATACTTTAGGTGACGCCTGTGTACGTGTGTCAGAGTGTTCCTGAAGCGAATGGCTAACCGTTCCTTTGTGGGGGTGCAGATTCTCTGATACTTGGCCAAGATTTTATATATATATATATATATATATATATATATATATATATATATATATATATATATATATATATATATATATATATATATATATATATATATATATATATATATATAAAATAAACCTTTGTTGTTGGACACTATGGCATTAAGCTACCTGTTTAAATACATAAAACCATAATGTTTGTACAATGAAGTGTTGGAGATTTTCCCCAGGCGCCCAGCACACCTGGATTGGAGTATGGAATTATATTTGTTTGAGGAATGTCAACCAGGGCTCCCAGACTTTCTTGTATTGTTCATACTTCTGCCATTATACAGAACACTGGTGAGACCTCACTTGGAGTATTGTACACAGTACTGGAGACCGTATCTTCAGTAGGATATTGATACCTTAGAGAGGGTTCAGAGAAGGGCTACTAAACTGGTTCATGGATTGCGGGATAAAACTTACCAGGAAAGGTTAAAGGATCTTAACATGTATAGCTTGGAGGAAAGACGAGACAGGGGGGATATGATAGAAACATTTAAATATATAAAGGGAATCAACACAGTAAAGGAGGAGACTATATTTAAAAGAAGAAAAACTACCACAACAAGAGGACATAGTCTTAAATTAGAGGGACAAAGGTTTAAAAATAATATCAGGAAGTATTACTTTACTGAGAGGGTAGTGGATGCATGGAATAGCCTTCCAGCTGAAGTGGTAGAGGTTAACACAGTAAAGCAGTTTAAGCATGCATGGGATAGGCATAAGGCTATCCTAACTATAAGATAAGGCTAGGGACTAATGGAAGTATTTAGAAAATTGGGCAGACTAGATGGGCCGAATGGTTCTTATCTGCCGTCACATTCTATGTTTCTATGGATGGATGCATTGCAATACAGCTCCTGAGACTTAAATTATACTATCTACTTACCAATGCCAACCTCCTCAAAAATGTATTACAGAGGGATGGTACCTTACCAGAGTGTCCAGCTTTCACAATCATGACCTTACCTGGCTAGCAGGTAGGTGAGGCAGCTGATTCCTTACTTTAAAGTAAATCATTGCTCTGAGGTATCATTTTACAAGCCCCACCCCCTCCCCCCATTTAACAAAGCACTTACCACCACATATCTGCCCGTTGGATCGATCACAGTTAAAGTTGTCACATTCGCAATGTTTTCCAGAATAGATTTCATTAGGATTGTCTCTCTTTTTGCACACACATTGGCCACAGACACAGTCCCCGTTGTTGCTGCAGATTTCAGAGCCATTATCTTTCCTGCAGTAAGCATCCATATCTTCACTGTTCACTTCCTCTGTGCTGCACTCGCACTCCTTTCCAATACGACCATCATTGCATCTATACAGCAATAATAGGAAAACAAAAACAAAGTGGTGTCTGTAGGAGTTGAGTAAAGGTTTCTAAAGACATTTATTTAAGCTACAATAAAAGGGACACCCCAAGCACCATAACAATACAGGTTCCTTACAAATGTTTGGTGTAAATGGTCCATCTACCAATATTACAATTGGAACTGAAGGTGGAGGGGAGTCGGTCTCAAATACAAAGGTGGAAGCAATATTTCGGTGACTCATTCATAGAAAATCCAGAGTATTCTAACTAGACCTCTGAACTAGTTTAATATAAAATGAAGGGCCTCATTGTACCAACAGCGATACACTATAGATGCATGGTCAGGATAACAGATGCATCAGCTTGCTTTGGCTTTTATTACATTTCCAATTTAGTACACTCGATTCGCAGACCTTACATAATGCACTACTGCTCACTAACATTTTCCATCATCATATTAGCAAGACATAATATACAGGTTGAGATTTTGTCCTCCTAACATTTGCATCTACAGTGTAATCCAGTGAGCAAGCAGTAGTTGATATGATGCTTGGAGTAATCTTTCTGCCCCATTTTAGTTTGATAGATGCTTGCTGACAGGAGGAACTGGCCACCCAGTGACAGGCTCATTGGTGGGAAGAGCGTGCACTTGTTCATGAAGAAATAGAAACGTTTCATTTAGCAGTTTACAACATTTATTCAAATAGTGTCGCATTTAATTGACAAGAAAGGAGCTTGGTAAAGAACAGCATGCATCTTACTTGCAAGTCTACTTTGCAAGCTGTATTTAGAGTGACGCCTATTTTACCTCAATAATAAAGCCCTTTACACCTTTTGGGCAGGAGTTTTTTCCCGAACTCTTGTTACTGACAGCCCTTAAGAGACTTGCCAGATATGCTCACAGAAAGGTTTCCTCTATTATGGCTATATCTCTTGGAGATGCCTGAAGAGATAGCCCAAAATAGAGGCGAAGTAAAACACTATTAAAATAAACAAATACTGCTTAAGCTCACCTATATTACTCATGAAGTGCGAAAAAATAAAAAATGAGCCACATAAATACCTGCAGGCTCCACATTCAAAGGTGCCATTTCCATTATTACATTGTGGGCTGTGTGGAGTTCCATCTTTCTGGCAATCACATTCACAGATAAAATGTAGAATAACCTCAACCTCTTCAGTAAATCCAAGGGGTTTGATTTTAATGGATTCACTCTGCCCTTTTTTAGGACACTTGTGTGCAGTCACACTTATCTCAAATTCCACCTGAAACAAAGCATTCATAAAATCATTGTTTTCCTTCTGAGGAGGTGCCTTCACATTTCTTTTAACAAGCATGGATGTGAATGCTCTAAACAGTGCTAGAGAGCATGAAGAGTTATTTCACTTGCCAAACTGTGATGTAAAGCAATCTGGTTAATACAAACTGCTGGAACCACTGCCACTGTATCTGTCTTTATCATTTCCCTTTAAGGAATTGTTGCAAGACTCTAAACATTACAAAGCCTTAAAGTAGGATGATCATTTTCAATATTAGAAGAGACAAACAGCATATTTCAAGAATACACATGAACATGAAAAAAACATTCAAATGCTTCCTCGGATTAAAAGTTTAAATTGTTGTAAAACAATTGCAAAAGTCACCCAAGATTTTTGCAAAACCCAAATTGAAGCCAATTAGTTGTGTTGTACTGTTTCTCGCCAATAAGGGAAAGTTCTGGTAATAATATCTATCAGACTTCTGAATTTAGTTAGATTTAAAATTTGTTCACTACAAAACAAAAATAAAAAAAATAAAGAAAATACATCTTTAGATGGCAGCAGACCGTAGAAAAACAAGAATCTATTCTATAATACCAGTAAAGAAATGCCTTATGCAAACCCAAATAACCCCAACTTCCAGCACAGAGAAATCAAGTCTATCAGGCATAGAGGTGCCAGAAGGATAACATACTAAATGTAGTAAGACACATGGATAGGCATGACTCACCTGATCTCCAATGGAGATGTTAGAACATTTTCTTCCATTCTCCCCTGTCCCTTTAACACCATTCTTGCAGAATGATTTATAGCTAATTGTGACACCTTCAGGCAACTTGCTGTTTTCTAAAATGAGTTCTGAAGAAAGAGACTGAAGAAAAAACATAGTATTAATCAAACAGACTTGATAGAGAAACTTTGAACTTTAGCATGGTCAGGAATTTTTTTTTTTTTTTTTTTTAAATCCAAAGGAGACATTTAAAATATTAATATAAGGTAATTTGACTGCTGTAGGGCTATAAGCATTGCTCCTTTCACAAAAAAAACAGACAAAAAAACCCCCCACCACACACTGTTAAATTTGCACACTTACATTATAGGAGTCAATAATCAGCTGGATAACGTTGCTGGAGTTTGCAGACAATGTTCCTACAGCTGATTTGGGGATCAGATTTTTTAGTTCCTGCAAAAATTAGACACCATAAAAAAAAAAAAAATTTTAAATTAACCCACAAACAACATTAACAACAACATTAACACCCCTGCTATATTAAGTACATCAGTTAAAAAAAAAAAAGCCTAAACAAGAATTAGCCTAATCTATTTTTGACAAAACAGGAAACAAAGATTGAAGACACTGGAAAAGAATTGAAAGCCTCAGTAACCGGATACTTTTCACATTGAAACAATGCGTCTCATTACCAAAGCCAGCAGCTAATGTGATTAGAAAAGAACAGTATCTCAAAGAAGTCAACATTAATCTATACACAAAAGGTACCAAAAGCATTTGGAGTGACAAGTTCCCCCTACTTCAGAGAGCATTTGAAAGCTCAGATACCGTGTTGATTAATAAATAGCTCAGAAGATCAGCTACAGAAATTCTTTTGTAGTATTGAAACTACCTTGTAAACTGGTTGAAATTCTTCAGTAACAGCAAATATTGTTTGTATGTTGTTTTCACTGAGTTTTTGTACCAGGTGAGCAATGGAGGGATAGTCCTGAGGAGAAAAATACAAAAACTTTGTTGACAAATGAAACTATAAACACACTGATATTGAATCAAAAACCCCTCAACTTTATTTAGTTTTTTTTTGTTTTTTTAAACTGCAGCACTTGCATGTGTTTGCAACATGCAGACCATCTGGAACCAAGGAAAAAGGCTCCACTTATTCATGCCCTTTTCCCATACTGTGACCTCTTTCCTATCAGAATTTGAGGGCATAGTTAGTCCTAGCCACAGTTCATCTCTTAACATATTCTGAATTATTCTGCTGAATAAGTTGACAGCAGCCATGTAACAGACCTCTAAACGTCCACTTGCCACTAGCCTTTTGCAAGTGAAAACTTAGAACTTTTAGTATAAGAGTTTCCAGGCTTGTGGTGGCAAGTAATCTGAGACCTGGATAGTAGCATAGGCATTGAAGTTTTAAGTGATGCATATTCACAGACCGGTTCAGAGTTTTGTGAATAAGAGCGCTGTGGAGTCATCTTCCAAGTCACTGACATGTCAGGCTCTCTCCAGAACTAGAAAGAGGAAGGGAAGTAGATGCACAAACTAGATGGTGGTATTTACAATTAAACAAGAAAAAATATTTGAATGGCATTCATATTCCACAGGCTGCACATCCACTGAAATCAAAACACAGACTGCTAAAAATAGGGTATGGGTATTATATTCCAAGTATTGCTTCTATATAATCTTTATGGAGAAGCCATGTCAGCACCCCTTGCAAAGCAATGACACCAGATTGGCAAAACATCAAGAGTATGTGTCATCTTGTTTCCAATGATTTTAGAGTGCAATGAAAACAGGCTCCCTCCTGCATGATCAATAATATTTAAAAGAAAATAGTTAAAGGAACATTATAGTTACAAAAATAACTATAGCGTAATGGAGCAGTTTTGGTGTATAGAGCATGCCCCTGCAGACTCACTGCTCTATTCTCTCTATTCTCTGCAATTTAGGAGTTAAATCACTTTTGCTTCTGTTTATACAGCCTTAACCACATCTCTCCTGGCTGTGACCGACAAAGGCTGCATGAAAACAATGGTTTAATTTTCACTATAAAACAACTTTTACACTGCTCTGTAAATGAAACTTTAATTACATACAGGAGTCACCCAGGGTATAGCAAGCTATTAACAGAGCCGGTGATAAATTCTTAAAACATAATCTGCAATAAAGGAAGTGTAAACATTAGATGACTCTTTACAGGAAGTGTTTAGGAAGGCTGTATAAGTCACATGGACTAGGGCTGTATAAAGAAAAGTGATCCAACTCCTAAATGGCAGAATAGATCAGTGAGAGTAAAAGAGGAATTATCTATACACAAAAGCTGCTTCATTAAGCTAAAATTGTTTTGGAGACTAGTGTCCCATCTACGGCCATTTAATTGGGGCCTGAAAGTGATGTACCACAGTTGCTAGGTTTGGGTGTTCTCTACTCCACTTACATAATAGTGGCTCATGGTGTACATATTATCGTGCATGTGGCATTTTCCATCATTCGGCAGGACTATTCCACCCAATTTACCATCACCAGCAAAGTGGAAACCAGCATCAGTCGAAAAGACCAGGAGACGTGTGACATTCCTCCAGCCGATTTGTTCCTAAAACGAAAGAGAAAATGGTTGGCTATAAATGCAAAAGTTATACACACAGTGTCTTAAAATGCATCAAGAGATATCAATGACAAAATACATTACACATTCAAACATACAAAATTAGAATTTTGATGGTTTTCAATTCGATGAGCAGGGCCTATGCTTCTCCAAACACTGATTTGAACAGCACGATTGTATGCTGGAGAATCCTTTTGCAAGATGAAAGTCCTGGTCCACCAGATTTACTAAAAAGTTCTTAACTGAACTTGCTGGCAGAGAGGGATGCTCCCTGTTTTCTTTAGCTTTTGTTTTAGGTTTCTAGTTAGAATGAGACTGCAATCCACAATCAGTCAGAAACCTATGTATCTCGTTACCAACATCTTGCGAAAATCTGAGTTTCAAGCGTCATATTATGGGAACCTGCACATAATGTCAGACCGATAATGTAATAATTTTTTACTCCTTTTCTCATGTTTTTTTACTATTTTTTGTTTATTTTGGATCAACTTTAACCAGAGACCAGCGAGTCTAAACTTCCACTTCATGATCAATTATTCTTGGTTTATAAAGGCAGACTCCTCTCACAGGAAAATATCTCACACACACACACACACACACGTCTACAAATGAAACCATCCATAATTCAGTTAGGGTCTATCTTTCTATTAGAATAACTTTGCCATCATAGCAACTGGTTTTCGGCTAAGCACAATTACATAAACAGGTTTTAACAAAGATGCCACTGATGTGCGTTTGTTAATCACTGACCGCTTATCAATAGTATTTTGAACAGTTAGGGAGAACCACTTACCCCACAGACTGCTACTTGCATTATTGCATCAAATCCACCTTCAGGAGAATCCAAGTTTCCAGAGATGTGCTGTTTGCCGACAAGCGTATTAAACAAAGATCCATTATCTGTAAGGTTCAGCACATTTTTATAGCTAAAAGGACTGGTGCAATTTTGATCACTAGTACAAGGGTTGATGAGCTTAGCAGGCGTAGTGCTGATGTAAGGCATAACTGTCTTTTCCACAAACGATCCAAAACCTAAAGCAAAAATACTGAATTACTTTCTTGCATCAGCAGTACACATATTCTTATATAACAGTCTAATTTTAATCCTGTGGCGAGCAACTAGAAAATGAAACTTATTCGCCTGCAAAACCATGCTCAATGTGCAATAATACTAAAATATAAAAATAATCAGATCTTACCTATCCTAAAATCAGAAGTGACTTCCTTCATACGAGACATGAGAGCAGTTCCAAGGTTCTTCACATTCTCCAAATCATCTTTCATAGAATAAGAGAGGTCCATAAGGTAGTATAGATCAATCGGATAATCTTCTGCTCTTCTGAAAGTCAGAGTAAAAGTCTGTGGTTCTCCTAAGGATGATACAAAAGTCCAGATTAGTTCTGTTAAAGGTGTTCATTTTGGCCAACAAAATTGTGTTCTTTAGAAATTTGCTTACCAGATCTTAGATTAAATTCCAATTGTTGAGGGCGTATCTGAGTGATGTTAACTGGGTCCAATTTGGCTCCTTTGACCTTATTTGTTATTGGACTATCTTTGAGTTTGCGATTACTACCTCTGGGATTCTGAATCTGGTCTACAGGACAACCTTTTACTTTCAGAGCAGCCAGGTCATCACAACGTGCTGAAGTTGGCTCACCTTCTTGCAAAAAGTCCTACATTCAAAGCAAAGTGTTATCATCAACTACCTTGGTATAATAATCTGCTTCTCAAAAGACCAATATTAAACAAATGCTTTCTACCTACGCAATATTAGGCAGGTGGTTTTAATATTGTGGTGATCAGTGTAATGTGAAAGTGCAAATTTCCCATTATCAAGTTTGCTAAAGGAGGGGTGGGTCTCTGGGAAAACACGTTTTTGCAGCTATTTTCAACTGCTCTCCAACAGTTTGGAAAATAAAACAGAAAGGCTATAGACTCTCACCTTTAAGTCTTAAAAAAAAACTGCCCACCAGAGCGGTCAGTGAGGCACAAAGATCTGTTCAGAGTCCCCTATATAGAGTGGGTCCAAACTGGTCATGTAGATGAAGCAGACCACATACATACTCTACACAAATCATACTGCAACAATCAGCTAACAGATAGCAACTAAGGTATGAAATACACAGCAGCTTTAATCACCTTATGTGATAGGTGAATATGCTCATGGTGTTAAACCACAAACTAAACAGAAGGGATAGGAGCAGACCCCACATACAGAGAGAGTCTTGATATGAGAACATCTTCCAGGATTCTGCTACTGAAAATTATAGAGCAAATGTTAGCAGTAGGAAAATCAGTTTTAAAACTGGCTAATGTATATTTTTTTGCACTAAAAAGAAATAGGTACTTTAATAAATATACATTCCTTTTAAATAAGGGTTTAACATACATTTTGCACAAACCACCAACATTACATTTTATTATTTATATAGCGCCAACAAATTCTGTAGCGCTGTATAATGGGTTACATAAACATTAAAAGGGACTCTCCAGTGCCAGGAAAACATCTGTATCATTCAATATTCAATGCTTTCCTATGGGGATTCCGGCGACGCTGGAGGTCCATAGGCATAGCGTGAGGACGCCGAGCGTCGTTTAAAACACTTTTCGTGTTCTAAGACCATGGAAGTCCCTCTAGTGGCTGTCTGATAGACAGCCACTAGAGGAGGACTTGACCCTGCAAAATAATCAATGCAGTTTATAAAAACTGCAATAGTTACACTTGCAGGGTTAAGGGTTGTGGAAGTTAGTACCCAGACCACTCCAATGGGCAGAAGTGGTCTGGGTGCCCGGAGTGTCCCTTTAATGAAAACCAACAGATTTCCAAAGAACTGTTAAATGGGCATTCAGAATATAATTAAAAACATAAAATACAAACCAAAGAGCAATCCTTTAAATTTCTCCAAGAGCAAGTACACACATTTAAATATTAAGACTCACTGCCATGAGTCACACTTGGAGAACAAACACAAAACAAAAACAAACTTCTGCTTAAATAAAAAAACTGGAATTCATACTTACCACTTGTGTGCACCACCCACAATTTGGCCCCACCTGTATACATTCTCCACAGGACTTTACATTGGCTTTTAAACATTCAGTCCCACCTGGATTAAAGAACAGACATTTTGCTTTCAGCACAGATATGTAGCAGCACTTTGTGTCCAGAAGACATTTTAAAGTAAGGAAAAACACTGTTTAGTTGAATCTTACAGAATTTGTCACAAGATAGTATATAAAGGGACCTCAAATCTTTAACTGTAGAAGCAGTAGATAGAAGGGTGTGTGTGCATCCCTAAATGATAGTTTAAAGCCCAAGGTCTTAAATAGTCACTTAGTTTAAGTTCCCCAACAGAGTACCCGTAGCTAGTTTTCCCAGTCAAGTAACCTCGAGAGTTAGGCTTTGGTCAACCATAATCCTGAAAGGTCATATTGTCTATTTAAATACATTAACTTCTGATATTGCCCAATGGTGCTTCAGTATTCATTCAGAAGTAGCAAGTGGTCTGAGACTTTAAAGGACCACTATAGTGCCGTGCCAGGCTCTGGAAGGGTGAAAGGGGTAAAAACGTACCTTTTTCCAGCGCTCTCCTCCGATCCGCCCCGTCGGCTGGCTGCGCGCATTCAGCAGGTCGCATAGGAAAGCATTACCAATGCTTTCCTATGGACGCTGGCGTGCTCTCACTGTGAAAATCACAGTGAGAATCACGCAAGCGCCTCTAGCGGCTGTCAATGTCAATGTATTTTTATTTATTTATTTTTTTAAATCAGGGGGGGAAAAAACCATTACAAAAAACAAAGCATGCACACAAATAATTTACCTTGCTGAGAGCGGACACACAAAAATGAAGAAATAACAATCACCGCAATGAAAGTCTGTTTGGGCGCCATCTGCAATAAATTGGATAAATCACAGTCAACGTTCGAGTGTTCAATACTAGATTATTTTAAGGTAGATATTTTACATAGCAGGGTTAACATACCTAATTGTGGCATTAAACTTTAATTTAGGCTATGAAAAGCAAAAAAACTATTTTACACTCCGAACACAACTTATGGTTATGGTGCTAGCATGCAGTCTGTCAAAACATACCTTTAAAAAAAGGACAAAATATCACATGGCTGAACAGCCCTGTTGGTCAGACTTGACGTTATCGAACCAACTGCTGAAACTTGCGTAAAACTGGTGAGCTAGGTTGAATAGCATAGTCAGGTAATAATAGAGTTTCACACGATATGGCTGTTCATCCAGAAAATGAAGTTTTCAAAAAGTTACATTAAAAAACAAACAAAAAAAAAAAACAACGAGGTGAAAATCTGATGACAGTGGTCCCATCTCATTTTCATCTTTCATCAACAGGCTCTGCTCCCCTTCTCAAATGTGTCATTTGGAGAAAATATTGATTGCATTTTACAGTATTTAGCAGTATGTATGCACACTGTTCTAGTCAGTCTAATTCAATTATAGGACTGTCCTGTAAGAGCATTCACAAAGCTCAGCTTGAAGACAGGCCCAGCGGGCTGTGCAATGAACAGGGGAGGGAAGGGAGAAGATTTAAAGGGACACTATTAGGTACCCAGACCACTTTATCTCATTGATGTAATCTGGGTGTACTGTCCCTGTTCTCTTAACCCTGCATTGCAGTTTTAGCAAAACGTTAATGTTTACATTGCAGGGTTAAGGACTGCCACTAGAATTCCTAAAACTATAGTGTTTCTTTTAAATTTTCAAGGACACCATCCTAGCACTACAATAAGCTCTAATGGTTACATTCAATGGAGTCTCCCTTTAAAATAGTAAATGCCATGAGTTGACCGAATCATACAAGTATTAAAATTCTATTAGTTTATGTAATTGTCAAACGTTCAAATAACTTTGGAGCAGTTATCCTGACCGTTTCACGGCACAGGCCTCAATATTTAACACCATAACTGCAATTTAAAAACACATGAACGAAACTATATTTTATATCACAATTTAGAACATGGGTACCTGAAAGTTTGACCACCAGATGTTTTAAAACTACAGTTTCCATCATGCTTTGTCAGTCTGGAGGTATGCAAAGCATCATGGGAGTTGTAGTTCTACAAAATCTGTGCATATACCTTTTGGGCACCCCTCATTTAGAACATGCTAACAACTTCCTATTTCTAAATTAAACTATCTAATCTGCTTCTATACAGCTTCCTGTGTCGGAGTCTCTTTCCTTGCTGAGCACGCTAGTGTTCATAGAATACACAAGAAGAGAAGCAGGGACCACTTTTCTTTATGTATAGCAGTCTGGTTGACATTACCCGACAACGAGGGGAGCCAAAAGCAAGGTTCGTATTAAGCTGCCAATCAAATTTACCGACAGCCTTTTAGTAAATGCAATTCCACATAAGAGCAAACAGCAAACATCATGTGCAGAGGAGAAAACTATACCTTTAGATAGCTTCTCAGCACCATGCAATATCTGGGAGAAATGTGGCCTTATTTTCTTTTGTTTTCTTCCTTTAGAGCAAAAGATTAGTAACACTTGCAAAAAGCTTGGAAGCTCCATTTTCATTATTATAGGTATTTATATAGCACCAGCTTATTCCACAGCACTTTACAATAAAACATTCTCAAAAGCAATGTCTATTTCTGAGGGGCACTATTCACCTGCTCTCAGCTGGTGGAAAGCAGAACCCATAATATATGCTATGGGTGCAGAGCTCCACTACTACACGAATACTGGGGAAGCTGCTTTGTGCATGTTGTGAGTCAGAGCCCATTGCACACTCCTAGTGCTGGAAACGCAAGTAACACTTACAAAGGCCATGGTCTGAGACATGTGCTCCATGTATTGGAGCCTGATAAAGTTTAGAAAAGATTTGACTTGGGTGAGTAAGAGATGCAGTACACATATATATCGCACAAAACCCTCCCCAAAAAAAACAAAACACAAAACTCATTATCCTATACATCTTAGCTGAAGTGGTAGAGGTTAACACAGTAAAGGACTTTAAAGCATGTGTGGGATAGGCTCTCCTAGATATAAGATAAGGCAAAGGACTAATAAAAAGTATTCAGAAAGTTGGGCAAACTAGATGGGCCGAATGGTTCTTATCTGCCGTCACACTATGTTTCATACAGACTGTTTTAAAACAGATAATCTCTTACCTTCCCTGCTTCACATACATTTATAAGAGCAATAAAATGGCAAACACAAATCTTGTGCAAAGACTTTCTCCCACTAGTATCGACTGAAGAGAAGAATCCACTTTTTTTTTTGTTTTTTTGGTTTTTTTTTAAGGAAGTTGGCTATATTGTCTGGACTTCCTTTGGAATGATAGCATCTGCAGCACACTGTTTAACTGGAATTAATTTAGAGAGAAAACACAAAACCTAAACCTGATGGTGTGGCTCTGATCACGATCTACAAGTACAATCTGAGTTCTGTCAGAACACTCAGATTTGCAGGTGGTTATATTTGGCATCAAAATGATATACAACATGGAGATATTTTGGGTCATAAAGACCTAACTGCTGGACACCAGTGAAGAAAGTTAAACTACTCCAATTAAATTTATTTTGCATAAGAAAGTGGTGTAGCAGATAAAAGGTGGGAGAGATCCAACATTGGAGATTAACTGGCAGGGAATATCAGAACCAAACCAAGTTTGAAACCTGTTGCATAATAGCACCAAGTTATTACACTTATTGCATGTATCTCTGCTCTGATTGCATGTATCTCTGCTTTAAAGAACTCTGGCCACCATAACCACTCCATCTAAAGACCAAGTCTGCTGGTATGGTCTTACTTTCCAGAATTAAGCAGTTTTCTAATGGTTTAACACAGAAGTAGTAAACCTTGGTGCCCATTACACTGCCTCTCCTCTGGTGCTCAGGCTAATGAATTGAGGCAGCAAGTAGATTAACACTAGTACACCGCACCATTGAGATGAAGTGGTACAATGTAGTGCTGTATAAATTCACCAAACTGGGAATTTCTTTTAAACCTGCAGGTGTCATTTACTGTGTATTGGTGGTGGATGTAATTAAAGGTACAAGTGGATGAAAGAAAAAGGGTGGCGATCAATGTCTAGGGTTAGGACTGACCATTTGTGTATTAACCATTGGGCATTTTAGAGGTTTAGTCCTGTGTATTGTTCATTTACACAATTATACTGCGGTACAGAATTCCCAAAGTACATAAAGCACGGTTAATGAACCAAATCAGCCTTTATGTTGACAAAGCAGTTATTTTAACAGAATAACTCAAACAAGAAAAAAAAAAAAAAAACTGACAGACTGTCACTTAACTGGACCTTGTTCAGCCACCCCAGTAAACACTAATGTAAAGTGAAAGTTCCACTTTAACCCCTTAAGGACACATGACATGTCATGATTCCCTTTTATTCCAGAAGTTTGGTTCTTAAGGGGTTAAAGGGGAGAAAAATGATTTGGGATTGGCACACAATGTACCATTGTGAAAAATAACTTTTTTGGGCACCAATTGCATATTTGGGGTATCAATATAAGGAAGTATTTCTGGGAGGATATAAATATAATGGAGTGAGCCATGTATTTGTGCATTCAAGAGGTCATATCACGTCTTCCCAGCACTGTGTCAGTGTGACTCAAAGGGAGCAGCGTGTACCATTCACTACAACGCAAAAAGCCAGCCCTCCCATCTCCTCCTTTCTAGTCACCTACACACTATATGTCTAAGATATTTTAATTTCTCCTGACCAACTGGGTAACCAGGGTGTATGTCAGATATTTTGTTACCATAGAGACAACAAAAACATAGCATTTCCAATCATTACCCTTATGTAGGTCTACTGCAAATACAGTGGTCAGCAAACATTCAGAAACACTGATAATTTTAATTAAATAATGCAAGCATATTTTTTTGCCAAAGGACTGGAACACAATGAGAAACTATGTATGTGTCCCTCAAATACAGAATACCAAATTGTAAACAAATATGCCAACATGGACATACTATATTCAATAAACTTTCCAGGTCACCTTTTTAAATACGCCGTACTCTAAAATTAACCAGCACAATATCTTTTTATTAACACTCCCCATGTTTGGTAATGCTGCAAGCAGACTCATGGCGACCAAATAAATAAGCCTTCAAATATCCAGCACAGAGTAAGAGCTTGGAACGCAAGCATTCTTAAGCAAATGACTCTTTCAGGAGAGTGCTGAGGCCTGGGCAGAGATTCCAAAAATTCACAGTTTCCATATAAGGGCTGGCCAATGTCTCCACTGCAGACTCGTCAGGGCTGGCTCTGTATTACTCAGCTTCCTCTGGCCTGGATATATGTTTTAACCTATGGTTTGCCAGAATACTTCAAACACAAAACAAAGCATAACTGAGATGTACAACAAAATACAGCTTATAGTTTTCCCCATTTATAATATCCCCGAAAAACATCAGAAGATAGATATATATATATATAGATAGAGATATATATATATATAGATAGAGATATATATATATAGATAGAGATATATATATATATAGATAGAGATAGATAGAGATAGATAGAGATATAGATAGAGATAGAGATATATATATATATATATATATAAAAAAAAAAAAAAAAAAAACATACTTCACATTACAAAATACCGGTAAGGTTAATGTTGCTATGCATGTTCCCTGGAACAAACCACCAGTAACAGCAACAGATGATGAAGGTCTGAGAGACACATACAGGGTTATTTATTAGAATAAATCATATTGAATCATAAATTTAAGGCCAGAGTCACTGGCTAATTGCCAATTAAAAGTTCCTCTGACTTTGAGAATTGTCCTAGCTACTTGGACTTTAAATTCTCACTTTAGAGAATAAACCAGATTGTGAAATGGAGCTTTATGTTCCAGAGTTTGCTCCCATAACATAGAACAATGTCTAAAACAATTAATGTGAGGAAAATATTTATATTGCACAATAAACTACAAATGTTCTAGGAGAGACAAATCATACAACACTTAGGTGAAAATACTGTCTGCATCACTTTCTTTCTATCCCATCACATCATGGAACTAAATGTCAACCAATAGCTCTCAACCTGCGCATTTGCTTGCAATCAATTATGCTGCACATAATACACTGCTTAGACAGGTGAAGTGACAAATCAGATGCCATATGGTAATGTGTATATTATATATTGTGAAATGGGACAAAGTATGAAAGAGAAGCAATGTTTCCAGAGCTCTGACCAGATTGTAGTGCATATAACAAAAAGTAGCAGGTGGAAATGGAGATAAAAAAATGATAGCCATGGAATGACTTCTATCAGCTTAATAGCTCATTCTCATCAGATATCAAGAGTACAATTGTGGCTGAAGTACAGGTCCTTGAAATCCCTCCTGGAAAAAAAAAACACTTGCAGGCCATGGGTGATTGTGGTTTTAATGAGAGCTGAGCCTGCCCATTATGGCAGTGATGGCGAACCTTTTTAAACCCAAGTTCCCAAACCACAATACATGCCAACTTTTTGTGGGTTAATCCTTCCTCCAAAGCCTCTAGCGGCTGTCTCATTGAAAATCACAGTGAGAACACGCAAGCGTCCATAGGAAAGCATTGTAAATGCTTTCCTATGCGACCGGCTGAATGTGCGCGCAGCTCTTGCCGCGCGTGCGCATTCAGCCGAATGGGAGGAACGGAGGAGGAGAGCTCCCCGCCCAGCGCTGGAAAAAGGTACGTTTTTACCCCTTTCCTCTCCCCAGAGCCGGGGCGGGAGGGGGTCCTGAGGGTGGGGGCACCCTCAGGGCACTATAGTGCCAGGAAAACGAGTATGTTTTCCTGGCACTATAGTGGCCCTTTAAGCTGTAGTTGTTGTGGTGACTCTAGTGTCCCTTTAATGTGAAGAGGAAGTCTGCACCAATTTTGGCAAGAGAAAAAATAAAATAAAAAATAAATAGGAAAAAAGTTGTCCATGACAATGGATCACTTTTTGCAAAAACATGTGCAAGGAGACTAGGTGTGTGGAATGTCCATTTACAACAAAGCAATCACTTTTTCCTCCCTTCATCTATATCTAGCTAAAGAAAAAGCCAAATTCAACTACTGGGCTGTTTTTGGCAACTATTGTAATGTTATTAAAGTTTGCTAAGCAGAGTAATGACACTTCTTTGAATTAATGGATATAAAAATACAAAACTTGGTACACAGTTATATTCGTATTCTGCTTACAAGGACTGTACTAAGATCTATGTAACTTTCTGGTGTGCTCAAATGTAGATTAGCTCAGCAGTAGCCACAGCGACCACAATGACTTGTGGCAACAGTTGAAACCATTTAAAATAGAAAGAAAGCTTCCTACGACAGGGCGATGGATTGTACACATCTTAAATACTTACTTTAACATGTTGGAAAAGAAGGTACAAGAAACGCAAACCCGTGATATGGAACCTAATCAAATAGAATTTGTTTTAAATGTTTCAAGATATGTAGGATTCTGCATAAAGTTAGAGTATGTACCCCAGAGGGGAAAAAAAATCACCTCAAATCTATTTTTAATATAATAATCCTTTCAAAGTTCTTAAAGTAAAAATATTTTTGTTTAATTAAATATATGTACAAAATAAATGAGAGAAACCCATCCCTAACATTGATAGCACATATCAGCCATATAAGTGCACCTGGGGTCAGACAGTGTTTGAAAACAGAGACTCTCTGGTCTTCCCTGCTTCTATGCACAGAGTTAAGGAGGCAGACCATAGACACAACTGTTTGTTTTCAAACACGGTCTGACCCAAGGTGCATGTATATGGCTGAAGGATCTTCTCATACACAAAGAAATAAATTAAGGATGAGTTTTTCTTCTTTCATTTTTTAAAGATGTATGTACACTGCAGGACTAATAGTACCTCTAAAGACTTTCAGACAGCCACTACACTTCCTACTTTTGGCCGCCTGACGCTGCACGCTCTTCAAATCAACGTACTTAAAATCCCCATAGGAAAGCATTGCAGTCCCCATCCACCCCCGGGGGACACTGGTGTAAGCGGAGCAATGACCCAGCACCAAGTGAGACCATCACTGAAATTGGGTGAGTACAGAAAGTTTGTTGTTGTTGTTTTAAAGTTAACCCTTTACATGCTGGTGGTGCGTGAAGGAGGGGTTGGCCAGAGGGAACTATATAGTGTATGGAACACAGGATTCTATTCCTTACACTATAGTAACCCTATAAAAAAAAACAGACAAAGGGGGAGGGTGTGGGGAAACCTGGCATTAAACGCGTCTCTCATTAAATGAATACTGCAGGCACCATTACAGCTTTATCAGAAGAAGTAATGATGTCAGGAGGTCCATGGTCGGCACCAACCATTTGTGCTTATTGCTTTTTATATTAATAAAAAGCCGCTTTTTTCAACCTTCCACCCGGAGTCCTCCATCTTAGTGGAGAGAGTCCAGAGAAGTGATCCCAAGCCCCCAACATCATCGTGGGAGGCACCTTATATACGCTTGAATCAACAAAGATCTTGTGAGTGTATTCTATACTAGCGCATAACTTATTACATACGGATTTACACTATATTCTTTTCTGTATTTTTACTCTATTTTTAGATTCCAGACGGTTCCCTCTCCTTTTGTGGGTATATATATCTTGTGGTTGAGTAGAATTGCTGACTGGGAGCGATCCAAGGGAGGCTGCCAACTTATTATTGATAAATATTTCTTGTTTACACCTTATATACCTGTACTAAGGAGTATTTCTACTTTAAGAGGTCCATGGGGCAGGCTTACCTTCAGGATTTAAAATACTAACTAGCTGTTTAAAGCTAAAGTCTTCAGGCCAGTGCCAGTTAGCTCTGCTCAAGAACTGGGCAGAGTGGCTATTCTTTGCAGGTTTCAAAGCAGAACCTAAATATTTGCAGGAAACTCAAAAAAATTAAGATAGGCTTCTTTTTTTGGCCACCTCTTAAGCATCAGCACAATGTGTAAAAAGGAGTTTCATAACAGTGATGTCCTAAACATTCCATTTGTATTTGGTAGAGTAGGTGAAACATTACCTTGAGATTTGATCTGCTCATAGTGGGAAGTAATAAAATGTGAGCGAGAAGTAAAATAAGATTCACACTCACACCAAACATTTCAGTTAAAAAGGACACTACAAGCACCATAACCAATTAAGCTAACTGTGGCGTTATTGTGGAAAGATTCCATTGCAACACTACTACTATACACTACTATGACAACCATTTTGGCACAAGTAAAGTTAAGTAGTGTGACGGACACTCTGGTCACCTAAGCCAGGTACATGGCTCCTCAGCCCTCAACCAAAATGACTAAACGTATAGACTAAAACTCCAGCCCATGTTTCATAGCCCAGCGACCCTTCTGGCTGTCCAGGACCGCCTATCCTCTGCCAGAGGGGACGTTGAGACATTGAGCGCCTGACTGGGAGCGACTTCAAATCATCCTGGAACTCTAAAGCAGATCGCAGAGTCACCATGGTCTGCTAAAACTTTAACTAGAGCTCTTACAGTCCCAGGACATTCAATCAGGGCACTCTTTGGAGTATTAACAGAGGAGGTGGGGAGAAATCGAACGACACCAAGGAGTTGGGGGATCGCCATGTACCAACAAAAAGTGCCACGCTTTTAGGTAACCGGGAAACATTACCTAGCACTCCGTAATGAACGGGCACCCCACAGAGACCTTTCCAGTGATATATGGCATGTGGGGGTGCTCTACATTAATACATGTGCTTTGGGGTATTTTGCACTCTGTGTCCTGGAGATAATTATTTTAACCGAGAGCGGACTCCATTATCTCCTAGACACAGAGGCAGGCTTATGTTACACTGAATAGAGACCACATGGTGAGGGTCTGGGAATAAATCTGTACACTTTGCTTAATTATTATTATTAATATTAATAATAATAATAATAATAATAATAAAAAAAAAAAAACAGTTCTTCACCCTTCATTGAGTCTCGACTTATGCTTGGATGAGACAGCGGTACCTTGTGCAAGAGGATATAATCACTCGAGAGCTAAACACACTGGGAAGGCACTAGTGACTCATCTTCTCAAGGGATACCGCCACAGGTTTTTACATTTAAAGGAACATTATAGGCACTCAGAACACGTCATCTCAATTAAGTGGTCTAGGTGTCATGTCCCTGAAGGTTTTTTTTCCCCCTGCAGTATGAAACATTGTCGTTCTCTAGAATGACTGTTTACCTTACAGCGTTTACATGCATCTAGTGAATGTCACTGAGACAGCCTCTAGGAGCGCTTCCTATGAAATAGAGTAAATATACGCTATTTCAATCAGATGGACTCATACTGACCATATGAATAGTACCGTGAGGCTCTTTAGTGCGCATGCACACTAGACTAAATTCTTTCCTATGAGACAGCATTGGATTGGCTGAGATCATTGCTCTCTATTATCCAAGCCAAGGACGCAGGGCCAGGCACAAAGAGCAGCATGGTGCGAGGAAAAAATATAAATACAATTTTAACCCTCTTATGGTGCCCAGAAAGTTTCTTTAAGTGCCCCCTAAAGGCACTCAGACCTCTTCATTGCAATTTAGTGGTCTGAGTGCAGTGGTACTTTTAACCATGTAATGTAAACCATTGACATTTAGTAGTTATGGCAATGTTTCCAATTAATGGCTGATTAGGTCTCTAGTAGCTATATTCCTGACAGTCACTAGAGGCAATTCCACTGTGAGAGCAGAGTCAAACTCACAGCTAACCTCCATTTGATTAGAGGAGTCCAGTACTGGCCATGTGTGCTCTTTTCGCCGGGCTGAAGGGGGAGGAAGTGATTAGTCACTTACCTTTCTCCAGCGCCAGGCTCCCTCGGCACTGGGGAAATCTCCTCCCTCTTCCAACGTTAGCGCTGAATGCGCATGTGCGGCAAGAGCCGCGTGCATTCAATCAGTCCATAGGAAAGCATTACTCAATGCTTTCTATGGACTGCAGCGTCTTCTCACTGATTTTGACAATGAGAAGCCACTAGAGGCTGGATTAACCCTCAATTACAGCTTCAGTGTTAACCCTAGATGGACCTGGCACCCAGACCACTTCATTGAGCTGAAGTGGTCAGGGTGTCTATAGTGGTCCTTTAAGTACCTTCAGTAAAAACTTCTTGCACCGTGGTCTTGCAACAGTACTAGTGTTCCTTAGCACTAGCACTATAAATTAGCACTTAAAGCAAGCAATAATTTGGGTCTAAAAGCAATGTTCCACCCCCTCCCCCCCAACCCCACAATTGATGAACAAGTTTTGACCTCGAAACATTTGTCACAACACTTCTGAACTGGTCAAGTGCTTTCTTTTCTGTGACTTAAAGCTAGATGTGTTCCTTACTACATTAACAAAAAATGATTAAAAATAGAGTACCAGAAATGTTGTGGTCACAGAGAAGCACTGAGTTTAATGCTTCTCTCAGAAAACACAGTTGAATGTAAAAACTTTGGAAATTGAAGGACATAAGGAGGAAGTGCCTCAAGCTGCTATCTGACCGCTTTACACAAAATGTAAACATTGTAGTTTTTCTAAAATGGTTTGCATTTCCAAAGAAAAGTGACAGCATATGTGCACCAGAACCACTACATTAAGATGTGTCAGCCCTGATAATCATGATACTAGAAGAGCAATTAGAAAAAGTGGAAATAAAACTTATGTCAGCACAGCTAAACTAAAACAGAAAGTAGATAGACTCAAACTGGCATTTAAGTGTCTCACTTGCTTCAAAAAGTTCAATCTTTCTTGCAGATAACAAAGAACGAAGAAAAATAAACCCTGAGGGACGAAAAAACTGCAGGCATGTGCTGACACATCAGCTTCGTAAGCACAGGCCTGGGAGCTAACCAATAGCAAGCTGGCAAATATCAATAACATAAATGGGAGAAAGCCTTTTTAGGTTACGAAATCAATGTAAGCAATAATTAAAGATACGGATAATGACTGTTACAGTAAGAAAAAAAATTATTATATATAGTAACCTTGTGAATTTGTTGGTGCATTGTAAATACTACTAATAAGTGTGCAGACAACTTATAACGTGCAAACATAAAAAATCATTACACTAAAAGCCCAAGTCAAATCTGGGTAGAGACGGGATGGCACAAACTTCAAAGCGTGCACATCTGTTGTTGCCTAAAACACTCAAAAGAATTATGAGAAGAAAAAAAAAAAAGGAAATCAAAGCCACAGTGTAATTAAATGTAATATAAGGAGTCTGGCCAGTAGTACTTATCACAGGCAATAAACGTGTGTGTTTTTTTGGGTAGTGATTCCATGTTAAAAATAAACATTACCCAAGGCCCTGCTAAACTGGCAACCCCCCCTCCCTTCTTTTACCACTCCCAGGAAGTGTGCAGCCTCCCTCCCACTGCAAATTCCTGCAGGGATACTCCCTACTGTAACAGGGTGATAATACAAAGGGATACACATTATATGATAAATGTGTACACACACAGGGCACACTCAGTACTGACCCCTGGGCGGTGGATGTACCCCATGATATAAAATCTGGTATAAGCCCTAGCAGGGAACCATGGGAAGGGCCCAGATGACCTTCTTTCCATGTAAAAAGGCCAAACAGGCCATGCAGTCTGTAACCTTTTAAATACCAGAGCCCTGACAATAAAGGTTGTTACTGCTATAAAAGAGAATAACTCAAGGTAGGACCCCCTTCACGAGCAGCTGCAGGACTACAAATCCCATGATGCTTTCCTCCCTGTAACAAAAACACATGTGATAATGCATCAGAGCAGTGATGGCCAACTCCCCATACTGGTTACTGAGCACTCTGATGCCTATGATCCTCATCCAGACGAGTTGGGTATTAAAGTTGACAAGAACATGGATGAAAGTTATTCTTGCCAAGCATTGTGGGTAATGTGGGAGTGCCAACAGCTGGCCATAAAATCTGGAACCTCACCATCCTCCAGCGAGTCCCAGGGCATGGCTGAGGATGATGGGCATTGTAGTCCACAATGAGCAGAGATCCAAATGGCCAGGCTTGAGCAGTAACACGGCCAGCACCTGAGTGAGCAAACAGCCATAACAGCCACCCCAGACCCCAGTACCCCCCCCCCCCCGGGCATGCTGGGTAAAGGACACCAAAACACATGAGAGTAGAAGAATCCTGGGATCATAGCGCTCACCTTAGCAATGGCGACTCCACCGCCCCCCGACAGCTCCACTCAGAGCTCACAGCGGTGTCTGTGTGGCGTGTGTCCGGCCTGCCAGTCAGTCCGTCCTGCGGAGAATGGAGCTCTGGCCCTCCGGTCCCTCAGACAGCCGGAGCCGGAATGAGAGGCTAACGGTCTGCGCGAGAAGCAGCCAGCCAGGCAGCGCGCGCACGGGCAGGCGGACACGTGACTCCTCGACACACACGCGCGCGCCCTCCTCACTCACTCAGCCTTCCTTTCCCTCAGCTGTCTTGAGCGAGCGAGCGCGCGCGCGCGCGCCCCCCTCCTAACTGCCCTGTCTCTCTCAGCACGGGAAGCGAATTCCAGGCCCGTGACGTCAGGCGGGAGAGGCTGGACGAGTGGGTGGGAACTTTGCTTATTGAGGGGCGAGGGTCAGGGAAATGGTCTCCAGCTGTGCTCCTAGCTGGGCTCACTGAGACTGGGCTTACTGTACAGGGAGATGTCATGTCTCCTATAGAGTATAACAGTCCTGTATAATCAGTAATACATGTAATACACTCAATATGTCAAGTTAAATAAAGAAAAAGCTGTGACTATGCAATAAAAACTGTTTTAAACCATCATTTATTGAGAATAGTCCCCTAAACCTCTCCACACTTCACTTTCAGAACACTGTTGCCTTTTAAATGTAAACGTGCAAAAATAGTGTAAATTAATCTCGAGACCAAAGTTAGATTGGGAGAGTGGATTTTGGCATTGACTGCCATCTTCTTCCTCGACCTCGTGTACCAGGACCTGTCTCTTAGCTTTGTCACTAAATTTGTAAGAATACAAAAATAGACTGTCCACGGACTACTACAAGAGACGGCTGAAATCACGATGTCCCTGTGCGTATTCCTGTACGCGCACATCGACTGTACATGGGTTTTTCAATGACTGGTGAACATGATTGTAAGCTCTTGGGCCTTTTTGCATAGTACATGAATGAGGTTATTAAATAAATGGATTTTAAAAAACCACTAACTGTCGCTATGAAAAATCCACAGATAATAGACAATAAAAATGGTCATTATTATAGTTTCCATGTGAAACTCAACTGTCTTACGTGTATTGCGATATTGGCTAGATCAATTATAAATAAAGTGTATGAAAGAGGAATCTCAATCTATTAATTCCTGACAGACGCACAGTCCGTGAGCTCACATCCTGAGCCTTATTCCTGAAAGTTTTAATGGGATTTCTCTGGCCAAATGGATCAATAGATTTTAAGTGTAAGGGCAAGATATAAAAGTGTAGTGGACTATGATTGTGTGAGCAATTTTATTGAAAATATTGGGTAAAAATAGCCAAATTGCTTTAAAAATAAAAAAAAATTGACTTTCTCCCGGACGTATGCGAGGTATTATGTAGTCTGACAGTGCTATTTCAGGTGGTATTGACCCTAAATGTTTAGAGATTATCTTAAAATAGTTTGCCATAGTCAGCGAAGAGAAAGGGGAACAGGTGCTCTGTGACATGAAAGGAGAAGGTTATTTAGTCTGGTTGCTGTGTTTTGCATAATTCGGAGGCAATGAAGATATCATTATTTCTTGGAACCCTTGGTGCAATGGGTTGCAGTGAACTAGACTAGATTAGAGTCTATCACTAATGGTTAGATTAAAGTGGCATTGTTACATTCTGATATTACATTCTGTTATACCTCCTATGTTCCTCAGATAGCAGCAGGCAAACTTTGCCAGGACTCAGTCAAACAACAAACCCTTTGCAGGGGTTCAATGCTTTCCTATGGGGTTTTCCTAAACGCTGGTTGTCTTCATGCAGAGCTGGTAGATAGCCGCTAGAAGCAATGTAAACATTAAAACCGCAATGTTTTACATTGCAGGACTAAGGGGAGATAGGGACAGTGCACCCAGACCCTTTCAATGAGATAAAGTGGTCTGGGTGCCGATAGTGACCCTTTAACAGAATGCTCAAAATATTTAATAATTTTATCAAATTGTGAGGTAATGAATCACCTTTTTTTGTCTGATTTAGACCTTTTCACTAAAAGCAATACTCCAGCACATTCTTAAAAGCATGCATCACTTTGAGACAACTGTGTCATTCACAAGTTTTAGTTTTTCATAAGGCAATTGCTTCACTCTGCTTTTTACACACACTAGGAGGGGGGGGAATGAAGGGGGGGAGGGGGAGGACTGATCTAACCAATCATTGTCCTATCCCTAGGAATGTTGGAAGAGTGCATTGGAAATACCTGACAGATTTACACATGTACGGTTGGAAGATTTCTTGGAAGGTGGGTAAAACGGGGAGATGGGAATGGGGAGGCTGAGACTAGTCTAGCTGAGAGGTGTGCCAAATGATGCCAGCTGACAAAGTTTATGGTAAGTTTATAAACATACATACCTTTCAAACATTTTCTTGCTTTATTTTGGTTTGTATATTTGTTAAAAGTGTTTGCTTGCTGGTTTAAAAAAAATGTTAAGTGATGCATGTCCCTTTAATTCCTAAGAGATCATTTATTAAAGAGCGCAATGTGAGCAGAGCAAGAGATTGAGGATAATAGTAATTAAATGAACCAATTCCGAAATTACATTATCTCTGTACACATATGAGAGGATGTTTTTCTGACAATACTCTTGTGTGGGGCTGGTAGGAAAACAATTGGGTCTTATTATATATTTAAAGGGACCCTATAGTCACCCAGACCACGTCAGCTCAATGAAGTGGTCTGAGTGCCAGGTCCCCCAGGTTTTAACCCTTCAGATGCAAACATAGCAGTTTCAGTTTACATTTGGGGTTAAGCCAGCCTCTAGTGGCTGTCTTCCGGACAGCCACTAAAGGCGCATCTGCGACGCTGGAGGCATATTATGCCTCCATAGCGCAGAGTGTCCATAGGAAAGCATTAAGAAATGCTTTCCTATGGACACTTTGAATGTGCGCGAGGTACTTGCTGCGCATGTGCATTCGGCTTCGCTGATGTCGGACGGCTCCGCTGACGTAGGCGGAGGAGGAGAGGTCACTAGCGCCAAGGTAAGCTGCTGAAGGGGCACTATAGTGTCAGGAAAACCGCTTTGTTTTCCTGACACTATAGTGATCCTTTAATGTTTGTGAAACCTGTTGTCTTTTTTTCCAAAATGAATTAAAATTTTATTGAAAACATTGGGTAAAAATAGCCAAATTGCAAAAATTCTCCAACTCAGTCCTGTTTTTACTTTGGCTATTTTGGTCTGAAATCTGAGAATCACTTTGAATTCCGAACTATTCTTTAGTAAATAACCTAGTTACATTTTTACAGGGCAATTGGGGGGGACGGGGGGGGAATGTGTACACATTGTAAGAAGGGTCTGTAGTCCTTTAACACCAATTATAATTAAATTTATTTATTAGGCTCCAAATATTTTATGGAGAAATATACAATGAGAAAAAAAAATACTAGTCAGTAAATATTAATTTAGGGAAGAAATGACAAGTACCTTGCTCACACAAGGTAACACTAAAGATGAATGCATTATGTATTTCCTATATAAGCCTTCTGAAAAAGTCAGATTGTGGTTTCCGTGCTGTGTCACCGCTGCGGAGAACCTCATTTTCAGTCTGGGTTTCTGTTCTACCACACAGAGCCATCATAAAGGTGCATGAGATGTCTTTAGAGTCACTTTCTCATTTACTGCACATTTATCCTTGTGGATTTCTTTTTTTTAAACAAATGCAGTTATTGTGTTTAAAAATCAGATGGATTTTATGTTTTTAAATAATTGTTTAATAATTTTATAAAAGAGAAACGTGTAATAACAATCCTACCCACAATATGTAGGTGGTACCAACTAGTTCTGTATAAACAGGATATCACTAAACCATGAATTGTTGTTAAATGACAACTGAGTTGGAAAAACCTACAGTTGCTTCAGTTACACCGAAGAGCAATTTGACACATAGGTTGCCCTTGAAACACTCTGTTTAAAGGAACACACCAGTATGAGTTTTGGTGTCCGGTATGCCCTGGTGCCCCCGTCAATGTAAGGAATCTTTGCAGGGGTTCAATGGGCACCATTCCACACATCCTCTCTACCGGTAAGAGAGACAGTAATTCGTTCATTGGAACTTCATTTAGCATTCCTGAACTAAGCCCTGAAGTACAGTGACTGAGAGTGTAATCTCTGCACCCCCGGCCTTAGCGCAATAATTCAAGTTTGCAGAGAGGAACTGTGATACCGAACCTGGTAAAACTGTTACTAAATGGTCTATTTACAATGTTGGTGTGCCAGGGCACTCCTCTAGCTATATCCGCCAGAGCCCTCTGTAGTGGTTACAGTGATTGGATTATCTCAACTTGTGGTTCCTGTACCACCGCCCGACTTTGTTCCCTGGTGTCCCCGCAAGTGCATCATTAAACACTCTCACACAGCACTAGGATCCTGCAGATAGCACAGAAACAGTGCCCTCTATAAGCTGGCCTGGTTGATTGGCAGATAGCCTGGCATGCATTCATGCCCAGCTGACCTGCTAGTTAGTTGGGCAAACCTACCACCATTCCAGATGGGTGTGCCATTTTCGGCAGAACCTGTGACATAATTGTGTTACTGGTCCGCCACTTTTACTCCCCTCCCACCAGAGTCCCGCCTCTTGGGACGCCAATGTTGGGGGGTATGTTTGGAGTGTTCCTTTTATTAAAATGCTCTGAGCTGCTTAGGGCAATACATCACATCCTGGGAATTTCCTAAAATGATTCAGTCAGAGCATGTAGCAATATTGAGGAGACACGTCATAACTTTTTCCACTTGCTGGCACTCACATATAGACTTATAACTAAACATTATTCTACTCTCGAGTGACAGGAAATAAGTCCAGCTAAAAAAAAAAAAGAAGAATTAACAGAGTAAATTAGTATTTTGAATTTGGTCTACTAAGGGGATATTCTATTATTTTTTCCATACAGACATATCAAAAATATACAAAATTCAACTTTATCTAGGTTTGCCGAATTCATAAGGGTGTCCTAGAAACCTTTAACTGTCAAATGCTGATGTACAGCATATGAAAAGGGCTGCTCCGTAGTATACAGGATTGAAACCCGCAGTATCGAAATCAGTTAGCTAATCACAGACATTTCCCATTAGTTATTCATTGATTTCCTTCCGGTAGCATAGACAGGGAAGCACTTTTTATGTTCTCTCACTGAACATGTAGATAATGTATTGGAAAACACAGTGCATATTAGTCCTATCTGTGTATAAACACCGATCAAACATAAGATTATCCTTATTATCCTTATGATTTTTATAGCAACCGCATATTCTG